GGGGTCCAGCCTCCGTTCCTGGGGGAGCAAAGGGCGTGCCATCAGCACTAGCTCTGGAGCCCAGCCCGGCCCCACCCGGAGCTGCAGTGTTCCCACGCGGGCCTCCCGCTGTGGAGCCCAGAGGCCATGGGCCCCCTGGCCAGGCCACAGAGTCTGCACGGCTTTGCCCTTTTTTCCAGGTCTCTAATTCTGGGGTCAAGATGGCAGCTTGGGAGTGATGCTACCCTGGAAACCATGCCGAGGCAGAGTGAGGAAAGCACCCCTTTCCTGAAGGCTTCGTGAGAGGAGGCGCCTCCCGCGTTTATGCTTCTATCTGGCGTTCTGTTGGCACTCATGGACGACGCGGACTTGAAGTGGGTGATCGTCCCAGAGCTACACACGCTGCTGCCCTGACGGATCAGTTAACGTCGCCAGAGAGCCCTCGGCAGCACCCACGTGGATCAGTAACACTGCCACGTCGCACGCTTCAAAACAGCCAACCACTGATCAGGACAGGACACTGAATTCACACCCATTTCCTGGCAAACTGACGACAGCAACTGCATCAGATCTGACTCACAGCGACCCCTCCTTGGGCTTCCCAGGCAGTATCACTACGGAAGTAGATTGCCCAACATTCCTCCTGAGGAGTGGCGGCTGGGTTTAAACCGCCAGCCTTCTGGTTAGCAGTCAGATACCTTAGGTACCACGCCACCAGAGCTCCCAACAGAGACAGAAAGCACGTGAATGTTGTCAGGTGCCATCGAGTCAGTTACGAGGCACAGAGACCCCATGTACAAGGAACGTCTTTTGTCTTGAGCATTAACGTTACAGTGCAGGTTCCGCCAGGCTGCAGTCACACGAAACACGGAACACGCCCACCAGGGACTGCTGAAGATGTTTTAATGTTATATCGTTTTCTTAAAATGCCCGATCCCGAATGCTTACAATTTAAAGAGAAGTTCTGTCCGGTATGACGTTAAATCCCTTGGGAACATCCACGCAGATACATATGCACCCCACCCCCAACACACAGCCATGCACACGGGCATCTGTTAGCCTCACCCACAGGGTACAGATTCCCATGGATGAAACATCACCTGAGAGTAATTTGCATTTTCATTTGTGGACATTCCTTTAAAAACCTGTACATCCACAACTACTCCGTTGAAGTTCTGGGTGTGAACAAAAAGTGGAATGAATCATTTCAAAATAATCCAAATAAAAATTCTTCCAGAAAATTCTATGTATATTTCGCTCCTGGTCATTTATTTTCTGAGTGGTGACAGAAATGCAGACAGAGGCCACTGAATGTGTGACAGGGTCAGAGAGTGGGTCTACCCTGATTTAAACTAATAATCACAAAGAAGACCCTGCAAGGTCCCCATCAGTAAGAGCTGATGCCTTCCATCCTGCGGCCATAATCCTGAAAGTCACCCAAGTAGTGCACTAAATTTTAGATAAAATTTAAAAATCTGTGTCCACATAGAGCAGCATTTTACCTTTAAAGTTTCTTTATATATGAACAAGATTGCAATGTCAAAGAGACCATGCAAAATATGGCTTCTACGATATCTTTGTTAGACATGGCTGTCTGTGCCATTTCTGTTAGCAGTCGATGGAGCGTGTGGGGTACCAGGAGGCACGTCACTCCCTGAGACCATCAGTCGCTCTCTCTCGCTGTCCCTCATTCTCTCTCTCATTCTCTCTGAGGGCTCTCTTGGTCTCAAGACCCAAGGCCAGGCCGGAACTGCCTGTATGCGTGTGCCCACATCTGGTCGGAGCCTTCCTCTCTCTCCCTGCCACACACCAGCTAATGGTCACATCAGAAGGGACAATGCTGAGCTCTTGGCTATCACTAACTGTTGAGTAGCCCTGATGTCAGAAAGGTGACAGCTGTGAAGAGTGAATTGGCTGAGGTCACAGCAAATGTACCATCTCTGAGGGAGGGATGGTGACTATGTGTTCCAGAGAGATTTTTAGCACAGGCCCCTCCTTCAGGCAAGCCGAAGGTGGTGGGCCAATCAGATTGTCCCAGGCCGGGGATGAACCCACAAAAAGGGGAGAGCCAGAATCCAATCTTGTGATCTCCTTTCCCTGACAGGGTGGACTGTCAGCTGCTGCCTCTTTGCCACCTCGCTCTAGAGGAGGGAAGGCCCATGTGATGAACGGTTCCCCAGCCCTCTTCACCTCTGGAGTGACCATCTGGGCATGTCAGCTGTGGGCACTGGGCGGGTGTTCCCTGGGTGCTGTGGGGGGGAGTCCCAGGGATGGTATGCCCTAGATGCTCTGAGGGGTGTTCCCTGGGGGCTCTGGGGGGTCCCCGGGTGCTCTGTGGGACGCACCTGGAGCAGTTGACAATTTCCACGCTGGGGCCCGTGCAGGGCCAGCCGCCGCACTGGGGAGCCGGGCTGTCACAGGAGCGGGTCCGGCAGAGGCAGGAGCCCACGGCACTGCCGTCCGTGTGCGTGCAGGGCATCCATGGGGACCAGGGGCCGAAATGCCCATCCACAGTAAGGTTTCTGACCTGGGAGCAGATGAAGGGCAGCAGGTCAGAAAGGGCCCTGGGAGAGGAAGGGAGCCAGGAAAGGGCTCTCACGAGACAATGGGGATGCACGTTATTACGCGTAGGAAAAATGGCGGGGAAGCAAGTCCATGGACAAACAGCAGAGGCCACTGGAGGACATGATGGACTAGGCGGGGGAGGAAGTGGGAGAAGGAGAGATGTTGCATTGTAGTA